GGAAATAACAGGCCATTGAGAAGTCTGTGTGATGGAAAGCTATCAGAATATTTTGAGTAAAATATTAATGTAATCTGGCTTACTTTTAAAAACTAAGATATAATTCACATATAACAAAAGTCACTCTAACGCTATTCATTAAATAGTTGTCAGTTGCTTAGCATCACTCTGACAAGTCTAGAGTATGTGCACGATCCTCTAGAAGAATCCTATACTCCAAAGCAGTCATTCCCCTTTCTCTATTCCTCCATCACTTGGTAAGAACTAATTTACATTCAATGGATTTGCTCACTGTGGACATTTCATACATCCGATTTACTTTTACCCAGCTCTCCCTCAATGCTGAGAAAAGACTAACAGAGGGGCAAGAAGCAGGTGACCAGTTATGATACAATAATACTAATTCAACTGAAAGTTAAAAGGGGCTTGGAATAGGATGGTAGGAGAAGCAGCAAATTATGACCAGATTTTGTATACATTCTAACAGACTATCTATGGGGTAGTAGAGAGAAAGAAAAGTCAAAGACCACTCCAAGGTTTGGGCTCAGGCCAAAAATGCCAAGCATTTTAGCCTAAATACGTGAAATCTGAGTAACACTGACTCAAAAGTGCAAGACATCTGGCTGTGCTTTCTTCAAACACTAAGGATCAGATTTTAGAGGTGCTAAATCTGAGATCTAGATATTTACGAAAACATGCAACATAAAGGAGTGGGGTAGTAGTTATGGAAATCAGAGGAGTCTAGGCCAGAGGTACAAACTGGAGAGTTAATGAATGGAAGATGCATGCTTACTATTGTGAGATTAAATGGGAACCTCAAGAATGATTATAGAAAAACAAGTGCCAGTGGAAAAAGCCCTTGGGCATAGCGGTTATGATTACACCAGAGAACTGATGAAAATAAGCGACAAAGGCTAGAAGGAGGCAGCGGCACCAGGAAGGAAGGAGAAGCAAAATGAAGAATCCTTAAAGGCAACAGAAGTAAGTTATCACAGGGGAAGACAAGGCCAACTGCCCAAAGTGCTGGTAAGAAGTTCAGTAAGACGAGGACCAAGAATTAGTAACTAGATTTAGAAAGAGAACAGGCGCTTTTTTACTCACGCCTTGTACCCAACTCCCTTGCTCACTACCCTCCAGCCACACCTGCCTTGACATGTGGCATTCCATCCGACTTTTCATGATACACATCTGAAAATAACAGTTTGAATGAAACTATACTCCCACTCTCATGCTGATTCGAGTAGGATCAGAGATTGTGGCAGGATATCTTTATTCTTTCAATAAACATAGCTGGTATCGTTGTGAGGCATCAGAGAGAGAAGGCTATAACGAGAAGTGTGGTCAAGAGAGGGCTTTAGAAGATAAAAAAATAGAAATACATTTGAATGTTGATGGACCATGGCTAGATAAAAAGGGAGAGTACAGACAATAGCTGGACTGTTTAGAAAGAACAGAATCAAACACTTTATCTGTTTGTCATGTGGTCAATCCTTACAACATAAAACAACATCTACTGAAGAGGGAAAACAAGGGCAAACCTTTTCGAGAAGACATGAGAACAACCATCATTAAAAATTATCTAGACTCCATAGTTTCTCCCCCTCTCTACCCTCAGGCCCTCATCTTTCCTCCCTTCCCCCTTTGGACTTTTATACCTAACTAGCTATCCTATTTTAACAACAAAAGTCTCATGCAGTATTTGTCCTTATGGGACTAAGTTCACTCACTATAATATATATGAATTTTGTATGCAAACCAATAAAAAATAAAAAATAAATCTGAAAAAATAATCTAAATTTACTTCTCAAGACTGAAGATACTGGACAAATTGTATACACTGTCAGGGTCAGGGATGAGCTCTGGGCTTCAAGTCACAAGAACCAATTTCAAGTGACACTGACAGGTCTTTTGATGCCAATATTCTGTCCAAAGTAGTTTAAAACAACTTTCTGTCTCTATCTCATAAAATCCACGTGTTGATGACAGGAAATAGGATAAGGCTATTTGTAAATGCTTCTGTGTGATGTGCATGTGAACCACTCACTGTCAGTTCTGCTTCCTAAAGATGGGTGCTCACACGCATGGTCTTACTCCACCATGCTACACATCTTAATACTGACGCTCTCAAAAGCAAAAAGCAAGGCAACATAAGACATTTTTAAAGGGTAATCATCAAGGCACAGGAAAACAGAACTTTCTGATTAGCAAGTATGTTTAAAATGTAGTCAACAAGTTGTATATTAACTATAACTTAATTTCTTGTTTAGAAGAATTCAGTGACCAAAACAAACAAACAAACAAACAAACAATCTAAAGTTTAGATTCAACTGGGCTAAGGAGAAAAAATAAGTACACTAAATATGGCCTGAGGCATGAGGCAAGACCATGGTCAGCCCAAGGTGTGGCCCAGCATCTTCACAGGATTCTCATTCTCCACACTCTCGGCCACCTGCCATGATCAGCTCAAATCAAAGCATTATTTGATCTTAACACTTTTTACTGGTGTTTAAAAAATGATTATTTCCACTCTACTAATGACTTAACTTTTAATTCTAGCTGTTTACTACATGGGCCACAATGTTTTTTAAGGAAAATATATGCTGAGCTATCTAGCTATTAACATTTCTCTTTATTTCACCGGTGTGGGTTTTTTTTTGTCTAATAAGGATAAGAATATTTACCCTCTTCAGAAAGCTTAAAATAAATACTGAGGGGAAACTTGATGTAGACAATAAAGTTGAATGGACCTTCTTTCTGTCTATCCTTCCTTCACATAAGATGAAAAAACTTTGGTAATGACCTAGCTGGCCATAAGATCGCACAACTTTTTAAAGGCAAGTTAGAAAGAATCTTTAAGAATATTTGATGATTCACAGGGGAAATGCAAACATACTCCCCACTTGGAAATCAACTTCCTTGTAAAATCAAAGTATATATGCTACATATTAATTAATAAGAAGCAGAACTCATTTTTCTTACTTACAAATATATCTCTGTATCATTGCACTTAAGACATTATTCATGTATAAATGACTTGTCAGACTCTTAATCTTCTACTATAAACCTAGTTACTCTTACTGAAATAATTCACGTTATAACAATAACATTACAGAATTTCTGGAAACACATTATGTTTAAATGTGTGCATATCTCTTTAAGTGGCCCTTGCAGTCACATCCTTCAGCACTATTGAAAAAGAATTTATTACAAACAAGTGAGGAGTTTTTAAATTATAATGTGTCATTCATAGGGAGTTTGTTAATTTCAACATTGATTTAGGTGTGCCTATTTTGAAATATTATAATAATATACATTCTTCTTATTATGAGAATGATACTGTAACAGTGTCATTAATATATCATAGCTATAATTAACATTATGACATAATGTTAACTAGTCTTCATTACTAGGGGAATCATTATGCATATCCAGTAGTAGAATGCATGAAAAAAGTCTTTATAAACTCAGAAGATGCTGAGGTGTGGTGCTTTATTCTGAGAAGCTCTAGAACACATTCTCTTAGATGATTTTCAACTGCCTTTTAGAACCTCTCTGCTGCCCCTGTCAGAAGCATTTCTTGTTCCTTTCAATATGTTCACATATAGCAGGTTCCTTCTCTCCATGTTGATTTTAAAGCTGGCAGAAAGATTTATGGCCTATATTTATGGTTCTGTTTCTGCTACAACCCAACCTCATAAAGCCAGACAAACCACTGAGCCTCTGGAGTACTCTGAGTCCTCTCCAATCAAAGAACTGGAGTGAATGATCTTTAGGGCCCTGTACTATCATGTATATTGCTCAATATGACTTCTGGAGCCTTTCAATTTGATATTCACCATATGGTTGGACAGGATTAAATAAATGGGAGGTGTCTCAGGCCACACAAAGGAGACTGGACAGTCTGCTCATAATGGAAATAAAATAAACAGCACCTTTCATGTGGGGGTTTGCAAATAATGTGTGTAGATCATTAACAAGGGGAATGGTCATTTCTGCCATCCTGCCAGACCTAAACTGAGCAGGTTAGGGTACAGGACTCTCACTGTTATCAAGAAAGCAGCAGCAAAAAGTGCAGCATGATCCTGGGGCAGCAGTTCTGGTGGAAGCAGATGTGGTGGAGATGCAGCCTGGTGTGAGACACTGGATCTGCAGCCTCAAAGACCCAACTTTATTTAGGCTTGCCTTAGGCAGAGTGCGGAAAGAGGGCATGAAAGAACTCTGTAGCATTTCGGAGGTCTAAGGCGCATGCCAGAGCCCTGGCCTGAATTGTAACCTGTTATTTCATTAATAAATCCCATAATCACACATATTATCTTTGAGATCTATGTAGTTATTGCAACAGTAAGTGGTACCAGTATCAGAGCAGCAAGAGCTTTGGGAAGAAGGGCTGGTATTAGTTAGAAAGACAGATCATGGTGGAGGCAGATGGAGAGTAGGGCAGAGTTCAAAGATAGTATTTTGTGCTGCTGACATTGCAGAAGAGTATTCTTCCCCTTTTCAGAGTTAGTTAGGGTCAGATGCCCCCCCTCCCTATGCCAGCTGCACTGTGTTCACAGGTCTCAAACTTTAGAGGGAGATGAGTGAGCTAGGAAAACAAGTATCTGTATTTATTAAGGCTGAGTTCATAGAAAGAATAAGACACTCTAAGAAAGGACCTCTTGAGGTTCCGATAATTCTGCATGTGGAACTTAACACATCTTATCTTTCTCTATGTCATGGACTTTGGGGCTTGCAGCCACAGGTGCCATAGTTGAATTCCCCACCAAATAAATGATGGTGAGATAAATGAGACATACCTAAATAAAAAGGAAAAACTTTATCAAATGGAAAATTAAATGTGATTCTTAAGTGGACTTCTTTTTTACGATTAAAAGGATTGGGGGGGGTAAATTTTTCAAAACCCATAAGGTGATGTATTCCGTTATGAAAATTTCTGTTTCTAAATGCATTTCCATTTGATAAATCAACAAGATGATATTGCATACTAAAAGATGATTTACCTATAACTACATCATGACCATCGACCAAGCCAGCAGAGAAGAGCTCCTGAGAAACGCCATCTGCCGTATCTGTCCAAATGTGAAATGAATATGTATTAGTAACCATAAAATAAAACCCAACAACCCAGTGCAATGTAAAAGATATATTTTTTCATTTGCTAAAATCATCCACATGTGTTTTAATTCAACAATTCAGGGTCTATCAGGTGGAAAAAATAATTGGCCATGCACAATTTTAATTTTGCTATTTATTCAGCAGAATTTGCACAAATGGGTTTTTTTTTCTTCTCATTTTTGATAAACGAAGAAGCCTTTGCCCTTTGGTTGTCATATGAATTAACCTGCAAATGCACTTATAAAAGTTGGTTGTTTTTTCTTTCTTTAACCGTTTCCCTAGGACATGACTTTTCTTTCTTGCCAAGGTTAATTCTAGCCATCTTCAAACCTATTCCATCACTATCAGAGTTTATGCCAAAGGTTGAATGGGTAGCACTTGATACACCTTATACTGCAACAAATATTCTATGAGCTTGGTGGGCTATTAAAATGAGCTATTTAAACCTATGCTGTTAAGAAACTCCTTTAACATGACATTGATCATTTGATAGCAACAGATTCATTATCTTAGAAAATGTGGTTGAATAGAAGTAATGTAGTTTCTCAATGATAAGTGACAGGAGTTAGCAATCTCATAAAGACTGGAATGAACAGGCAGTGGCAAGTGAATACCGCTGAAATGACTTAATTGAAAGGTTATGAATGAGCATGAGAACACTGAGACATCTTTTAGAAGACTTTGTAAAGGGAAGTTGATAAATTGAAATGGACCCCAAAGAACCATCACAAACCTCTGTGCTTTAACAATGGAACTGGCTTGCTCCCCATGGTCTTTTGATATTCTTGTGAGTATAGAGAACTATAACTGAACAAAAGCAAAGCAGAACAGAATGCAAATGAAATACCCTGCATGACTCAGATGAAAGTCTGACATCAGTTTCTTCTAGAGTCAGTGAGCTGCTGAGGCAAACTAGCATCCAATGGAATAGAGGTTCATCATACCAAAGGGCTCCTTCAACACAGACAGGTTTCCTTGTCTAAGGTGTGCCTCAGACACTCTGTTAAGTGTGCAATACATATACGTGAGAATCTCTGTGTGTGCTCAGGGGATACACAATTATTGTTCCTAATTCTTGGACTGCGAAGGACTTAACCCAGTGACTGACACAACAACCACCCCATAAGTGGTATCTGTGAGGGTGACACATCATCCAAAGGTCATCTAAATTGTACTTTAAACCCTTGTGCATGCTTTTTCTTCTATTCATATGCTTCAATTTCTTAATTTTCAATAAATGCCCGAGGACCAACTGTATCACTTCCAGAGAAATTGTGATAGTCTGTCATTTTACTGATTCAATTTTATTATAAAGAAGAATACTAATACTATAAAGTAGGAAAGAAAGAGGAATGCTACTAAGCTATGCAAGGTTATGAATGAGCATGAGAACACTGAGACATCTTTTAGAAGACCTTGTAAAGGGAAGCTGATAAATTGAAATGTACCCCAAAGCTATGCAATTCCATACAATTTGATTTTATCTGGAATACTGTATTGCTAGAAGTTTGAGAAACATTTTTAAAATTAATATTTTTAAAATATCTTAGTGGTAATATGATCCTATAGCATAGTACCAAAGTCAATACCTCGATGAAAGACTCTTCAGAATGTGACTGGTTTTTTGTTTTGTTTTGTTTTTTTAAATGTATTATTTTTTGTGTTGTGTACCATTAAATCAAATCTGACTGGTACTGGAGGAGATTGCCCTTCCTTCTCCAGCAGAGCATCTGGTGGATTCAAACCATGTACCTCAGGGATTGCAGTGCACCTTCTTGCCACTAGGCCACCAGAGCTCCCCAGAATGTGACTGCTCTTTATAACATCTCAAAGAACATTCAGCGTCACTATCTCCATCTTCTTGAATGCCACTCAAATCACAGGAACAGATGTTAAACAAAAGTGCCTACCTAGCCACCTGACACAGAGTAGGTAGCCTTTATATTTTTATCGACTACTCATTTTTAAAGCATTTAAATGTGTTATCACTATCTTGCACATATCAACACAATCTTACACTTAAGTTATTATGTGCCATCGAGTCAGAACTAACTCATAGCTGACCCTCCAGAAGGTTTTCAGAGGCTGTACATCACATGGGAAGAGCATGTTCTTCTTACTCCTGAGCAACAACTGGTGGACTTGAACCAAATGTCTTTGGGTTGGCAGTGCAACTCCTTACCCACCTGGCTGCCAGGAGGAGGAGATCATTGAAAATTATCACAGGAGATAGTTGAAAATGGAATAATCAAACACCATCAAATTGAGGGTTTGCAACTGACACTCCCAAACAACTGAAGTATATAGTATTTCTGACTATGTTCAGTACTTTTAGAAGCCAGATGAGTCATATTACAATGGCAAATGGATCACCAAAATGAGAACATTTCCATGGTCACGTACGTTATCATTAAGTAGCCATTTTGTATTAATATAAGTCCGTTATCAGTAGTCATTTAGAACTGATACTTGGAGGTAACTATCTCTTTAACGTCCTTTGTTTTTCTTTAAGATGCTTAACATTCCTGATGTCAAAACAAGTTTAAAATCATACATTAATGTCCAATTTTTAGAGCATGTAACACTACGATAAAAATAAAGGACTTATGATGATGTACACTATTACTATGCATATTATGCCATAGGGTGCATCTACTACGCAAATATTTGTATATGTGGTGTGCATGTGTGTATTTACTGTGGATGATGGATGACTGAAATAGGCAGCATCAGTGGTCACAGAGGGATGGTGACATACACAGGGCATCTGCTATTAACCAGTCAGTGCACAGCTGCCGAGTGAAGGCTGGTGATCTCACCGGGAAGCCAACCAATGGAACAAAAGCAGGGGCCTTTAATCTAACAATGGCAAATGAGGCTGGCAGAACAACCACAACAGCCCAGCAATGTTGTTCGGGTCATCTTAGCCACATGAATCCCCACCTGGAAAATTCATTTTTTTCCCTTTTTTTTTTTTGTTAAAACCTTGTCAACTGCCATCGAGTTTTATTGCCATTGTCAATTTTAAACATTCAGATGGAAAACCTTAAAATAAATATCTGTTCTTCCAACTTACTATACCTGAAATATTTCTAATACAATTGCTAAATTTTGTCATAGCATTGTGACAAAGCATAGATTCTGAATAACTGTAACTGGCTTTGGTCAATTTCAGACACAAACTTTCATGTCAAAAGATGAAGGTCTTCATAATAGAAGATCAATTAGCAAACTTCTTAGGGTCCTTCTTGTGTACCTTTCTTGGTAAAGCAGACTTTCTATAATATTTTAATACAAATATACTACTGTTACATGCTGTGGAGCCTCCTCTCATAGCTGACCTCCTGTATGCAGGTTTTCAGAAGCTGAAATTGCACAGGAGATTATCCAGTGTAGCTCCTTACCTAGTAGGCCACCAGAGCTTCCTACAAATACACTGTTAGATACTGCCAAGTTGAGACCAGTTCATAGCTGACCCTCCACTGGGTTTTCAGAGGCAGTAAACAGCACACATATTTGACAGTACACAACATATCACGTGGGAGGAGACTGCGGAAGCTCCTCTCCCAGAGCAGCTGGTGGGTTAGGACCACATGCCTTTGGGTTGGTAGTGCAGCTCCTTACCACCAGGTTACCAAAGCACCCTCCAAACATACTGTTGTGCACTGCTGAGTCAGAATTGACCCCAAGCTGATCCTCCAGGCTGTTTTCAGAGGCAGTAAATCACGCAGGAGGAGATGGCCATCTTTCTCCCATGGAGCTGCTGTGGATTTGAATCACATTACCTTTGTGTTGGCAGCACAATGTCTTACCACTAAGCGACCAGAGCTCCCTACAAAGATACTGTTATTGCTGCTGTATGCTGGTGAGTCAGAACTGGCCCATGGCTGACCCTCCAATGGGTTATCAGAGGCAGCAAATCACATGGGAGAAGACTGCCCAGCTTTCTCCCACAGAGTAACTGGTGGGTTCAAACTGCATGCCTTTGGGATTGTAGCATAGCTCCTCACCACTAGGCTTCCAAAGCTCTCTTCCTACAATTATACTGCTGTTGTTGTGTATCATCAAATCAGAACTGACCAATAGCTGACCCTGTGGCAAATTTTTGAAGGCAGTTCATTGTACAAGAGGAGACTGCCCATCTTTTTCCCACAGAGTAACTGGTGGACTCGAACCACATGTTTTTGGGATTCTAGTACACCTTCTTGACACTAGGCCACCAGAGCTCACAACAAATATACCGTTGCTGTTATATGTTATTAGGTGCTAATGAGTTGAGTATGACTCATAGGGATGCTATGAACAAAAAATCGAACCCTGTTCTATGCTGTGCCATCCTCACACTTCCTGACAGACAAGAGCCCATTATGGCAGTCACTGTGTCAATCCACTTGGTCAAGGGTCTTTGTCTCCTCTGCTGACCCTCCGCCCTTCTCAGCATCATGTCCTTTTCAAAGGAACATGCCTAAGATATGTGAGGCAAAGCCTGATTAGTCTTGCCTCCAAAGAGCACCCAGCTGCACCCTCTCCAAGACAAATCTGTTTGTTCGCCTAGCCATCCATGGGATGTTCAGTGCTCTTCTCCAAAACCACAGCTCAAAGGCGTCAATTCTTCTGCCAATCTTATTCACTGTCCAGCTCTCAGATGCACAGCAAGTAATTGGAAATTCCATGCCCTAAATCAGATGAACTTTAGTCTTCAAACTGATATCATTACTCCTCAGTAATCTGGAGGGGTCCTTAACTGCAGATTTTCCCAGTGCAGTGTATCTCCTTATTCCCTGAATGCTGGAACCAAGGGTGATATCTGTGAATCCAAGCAAGATAAAGTTTTTGGCAGTTTCCATCTCCTCTCCATCCATCCATGTTGCCTATCGGTCTAGCAGTAAGAATCTTTGTTTTCTTTGAGACACAATACATACTGAAGGCTGCATTCCTCGATCTTCTGCAACAAGTGCTTCAAGTCCTCCTCTTTCAGCAAGAAAGGTTGAGTCATCTTCCTAATGCAGGTTATTGATAAGTCTCCCCTCCAATCCTGATGTCAAACTCCTCTTCATAGAGTCCAGCCTCTCAGATATTTGTGAGGCATTGAACATCAATGATTGAAGACCAGATGAGCTGTGGGTTGATATCAAAGATATCATTCATGAAGAAAGCAAAAGGTCATTACAAAACAGAAGAGAAAGAGAAAAAAAATAGAAATGGATGTCAGAAGATATTCTAAAAATTTCACTGGAGTGCAAACAAAAGGAAAACATGCTCATGAAGTAAAAGAGTTGAACAGAAGATTTCAAGGAGCAGTCTGGGAGAACAAAGCAAAGTATTATAATGGAATGTGCAAGGGAAGAACTTGCTCTGCATTTCTCAAGCAGAGAAAACTTAACAAATTTAAACCTTGTGTCTCACTATTGAAAGATACCATGGGCAATATACTGAATGATCCAGAAACCATCAAAAGAAGATGGAGGGAATACACAGAGTCACTGTACCAGAAAGAACTGATTAACACTGAAATATATCAGGAAGTACTATATGAACAGAAGACAATGGTAATGAAGGAGGAAGAGGAAGCCTTATTGAAGGCAATGAGCAAAAAATAAGGCCCCAAGAGTTGACAGGATTCCAATTGACTTAATTGCGCTCATGAGGAACCTGGACCTGGACCAGGAGGCTGTTGTGTTAATGGAGCAGGCAAACAAGGCATGGCTTAAAATTGAGAAGGGATTGTGGCAGGGCTGTATTCTCTCTCCATACAAATATACTTGGGAACACTAAATCTTTGTGTGTGCAGAAACTAGAGATCAAGGACTCATGAGTCTATGGCCAAGAACATTTGTCCAAGAACAGAAACAGGTTGGCTGATATTTAAAAAAACAGAACAACTCATTCTACAATAATAGTTTTATACAGTATTTGTCCTTATGGGATTGAGTTAGTTCTCTCAGCAAAATGCTCACCAGTCCCTCCCAAGTTAGGTAATAATTTACAAAATGATTGTGCCTGTATGCTGAGTATTGAAATGTACCACAACTTCTCAACCCATTCGTTTGTGGTTGGATAGCTGGCTGTCTTCATGTTCTTGCAATGGTGAATAATGCTGCTATGAACATTGGTTTACAAGTTTCCGTTTGAGCCTCAGTTCTCAATTTCCTGGGGTATACTCCAAGCAATGGAACAACTAGGTCATATGAAATTTCTATGTGCAGCTTTATGAGGAAGTGCCAAACTTCCTTCCAGGGGGGTTGTATCATTGCACAATTCCACTAACATTGTAAAAGAGTTCCTATCTCACCACATCCTCTCCAACATTTATTACTTGTTGTCCTGTCAAACTTTTTTTTTAATTTTTTATTTTATTTTATTTTTTTTTTGTCCTGTCAAACTTTGACACTGCTACTGGAGTGAGATGGTATCTCATTGTGGTTTTGATTTGCATCTCCCTTATTGCCAGTGATGTGGAGCATTTCTTTATATGTCTGTTGGCCATTTGAGTACCTTCCTTTGTGAAAATTCTTGAAAATTCAAGGTAGGGGGGAAGGTTGGAAATAGATGAGTAAGGATGGGGGAATAGGGTGTTAATCATAAGGTTGCACAATTTGATGGGTGGGTGGGATGAAGGAAATGGGAAGGATCTTTGGTGGACAACAATGTATTCAAACTTTGTAAATAAATCTGAGTAATATAAAAACAATTTAAAAAACAAACCAAGAAAAAAAAACCACACATGACTATATTTAGACAGGAATCTCTGGCTTTCAAGGAGGATGGATGGTAAGTTAAGTACTACTTAGCAAGAGAATGATGTGGTCTGATTCCTAAAAATTCTAGCCTTGAAATCCCTACGGGTAGGTTCTAACCTTTTTAATAATGTTGCTTCTTATTAGATGTTGTCAAGTTGACCATGACTCACAGTAATCCTACAAACAATGGATCGGAACTTTATCCTGTGCCACCTTCATTGGCTCTGATTTACTCGAACTCATTGCTACAAGTCACTGTGTTAACCCATTTTGTTAAGGATCTTCTCTTTTGCTGACCTTCTAGCTTTCCAACCATGATGTCTTTTTCCAAGGACTCGCCTCTCCTAACAACATGTCCAGGGCATCAGAATTAACTTGATGGCAATTGTTTCATTTGTTTCTTTCCTCCACTAGGCATCTGAGTTTGCATTTTCTCATAGCTGATGATACCAAGAAAGTCAAGTAATGTACTGACTGGCCAAATATTAAACTAGAAATTCTTCTAGTTTAGAATTTCCAAAAGTTTAGCCAACATCATTTTTTTAAATCAAATTGAAATTTATTTGACACTTCCACAAATAAAATTTTAAAATGCAGAATGTTATTAGCTTCCATTCATCACTAAATTTAACATAGGAAATTAATGTATTTTCTAGAAGTATTCAGTGTGGACATGGAAGTTGCTTTCACATACATAAAAATCTGAAGTCACAGGATATGGACAAGGTTTACAGTTTTTGCATTAATATTTGATTCTTCTCTGTTATTTTAGTTATAACCTAAACAGTGAAAATAGTAAAAAAAATAAATTTACAACTAGTCTTAGTACAACCACAGGCTGTTTGTGATAGTTTTATCCATTGGTTTATCAACATTATATGGGATTCTTTGATGTGCTAGGTTCTGAATTGTTGCTAAAGGATAAAAGAAGTACTACAGGGTTCCATGAGACAGTGTAAAGAACCAGGTTAGTGTTTAAGTAGTTATAACTATTTAAAATACGATACTTGTATGCATCTTTAAGATTGGTGTTATTCCTGGCAAGTCAGCAGTGAGGCCTGCAGCAAATGGAGATCATTAACACTCAGTATAGGCTTCCTATACTCTGAACAGAGACAAGCACTTACCGTTCTCCAGGATTACCATTCTGTAGGATATAGCGTTTATTGTTCGAACCTCATCATACCTGCTGTATGCTTCTCATTACCTTTAGGTAATCATTTCCTTTAGGCCCTGTATCACTGGTCTAGGACTTATCTTCATGGTTGAGCTAATACACATACATGTACATACATGCATGCATGCACGCGCGCACCCACACACAGTACAGCTTATGCTCTGGGATTCATGTAATGAATAGGGGTTCAGTTTATATAATACTTAAAATCACTGAAAATCCTTCCTTTCCTCCCGACTTTTCTCCCTCTCTCCCCTTCCTTCATTTTTCAGAAAAGCACTTTTAAACAGCAAATTAATTATAACCACATGCTAGTCATCAATTTCTAAAATGCTCTTAGTGGCAATAAAATAATAATTTCAATTAAAGCTTACCTCTTCCTGGAGTAAACTCAAATCGTATGTCATTAAGTTCCTTTCTGGAGTTTCTGAAATAAATTACATATAGCACGTTAAAATCTAATGATGCAGAGCTTATTCAAACTGAATGTATTCCAACTTTTATAAAATGCTACTGATATGTAGATACTATTTTACAGTTTTGGGTTGCATCCAAATACTTCCGGAACTGGAAGAGAGAGTTATGACAATAATAATGGAAGAGATTTCCTTGACTGATTGATCTCACCTTATGCAAATGTGGTTGTAGCACAAAATTTGCCAAATAAAATGTTCATTTTATACTATCTGCACAAAACTGATAGCCTTAAATATAATTTTATAGTTACAAAGTCAAGCCTGTAGTCTAAAATTATTACTATTCCATGCATTTTTCATATTTCCTTGGGAAAACAGTACTTTATCAAATATTTTTTTAAAACTGTAGTAATTAGAGAAGCTGACATGTTGAAACATCATGAAAGCAACTATACATTAAATTATGAGTAAACCCTCCATGATAAAGCATGTATATGTAATTTTTTAAAAATCAAAATACAGGGAGATTACTGAATGTGAAACTACAGAATATACCATAAGTTTACTAAAATATAAAAGGGCTACATGAGAAACATGAATACACACACATATGTATGAATATACATTGGGTTTCTGAAGCAGTACAGGTGGAGACTTCTCATCTTTCTTCCTTGAGGCCACTGGTACATTTCAACCCCTGAAGAGGTGAAGCCTTTAGAACAGCAGCATAGAGAGTATACCATCACAGTGCTGCCTTTTTTAGCAGTTCTCAATATGTTTGTTTTGGGAACCGTTTACATTCTTAAGCATTCCTAAAATGTTTGGTTCATGTGGACTTGTAACTACCACTATTTGATTTTTTTTTAAAAAAAAGAAAATTACATTAATCTATTACAAGTTAAAAAAGAACTTGATTTTCCAAAACAAAACAAAAATCAGTATAAAGAATGCTTTGTTTTCATTTTTTAAAAGATTTAAATTTTTTAATAAAAATAGATTGTTTAATTAGGGAAAAGAAAGCCTTCCTAAAATGGAAAAAGAGAGCATCTGTTTTAATTTTTATAAAATCTGGCTTAAGATAGATTTTAAATTTGCTTCTGCTTTCAATCTGCTACAATATCATATATCATGCAATCAGATGACTTTCACTGCACATTTGTGAAATAAGTGAAAAGAAAATTAGTTAACCACCATGAAAATAATTCTGACCTCATGGAGTTCTTGGAACAATCTCAAGGGCCCTTATAAGTCCCCAATCCACTCTTAATATAATTACACAGGTAGTTTCCAACTTAACGTCTGAGTTCTATTTCTGTCAACACTGTTGAAAGTGGATTCTGACATAAATGAAATACCTATTTTGGGGTTGGCTTCCATTATTACTGCCTTTTATTATCTGCTAGTAAATGTTTTAGAATCAGAACATTAACAATCTATGTGCTGTAACACTGTATTTAGTGTAGATTAATAGTGACAAGATGTACAATGTTGTTGTTAGGTGCTGTCCAGTCTATTATGACCCATAGCTACCCTATGAACAACAGATCTAAACCTTGTCCTATCCTGTGCCATCCTCACATTTTCTGACACAATAGAGCCTTTGCTGCAGTCATTGTGTCAATCCACCTGGTTAAGGGTCTTCTTCTCCTTCACCAATCCTCTGCCTTCTAAGCTTCATGTTCCTCTCCATGGAATAACCTCTCCTAGTAACATTTTTGCCAACCACCTTTCTATGCATCATGTCCCTCTCTAAGAAATAACCCCTCCTAGCAACATGCCCAAAGTATGTGAGGCGAACTTCCCCATCCTGCATCAAAAGAGCACTCTGGCTGCACCCTCTCCACGACATACCTGTTTGTTCCTTTGGCAGCCCATGGCATTTTCAGTGCTTTTCACTAGGGTCAGCAAAGGAGGGGAAGATGCTCGACAAGGTGGACTGACACCATGACTGCCGCAATGGGCACTAGTGCGTCAGGAAGAGTGAACGGAGTTTAGATCTGCTGTTGATAGGGTCCTATGAGTCCTACTTGACTTGATGGCAGCTAACAACAATAAGCAACGTTGTAAAAAGATGTATAATAAAACCTCTCAAACCCAGGGAGTTCTGAGTATAGTTCCCCTGACTCAAATATGCCTTGACTCTGGGAGAAGATGTGAATGTGTGTATATGATTGTAACAACCAACCTCTAGTATGTGCAAAGAGGGGATAATTTATTTTCCATGTTTTATTTAGGTAAGTGTGGTGAATGGCTTTTCCAAGTCCATGAATTAATGAGTGGCAGAGGGCCAATCAACAATATTATGATTGAAATACCTATTATTAAACAGAAAGATACACTCTACCTCATTTTCAAGAGAGAACAATATTCGTGAAGATTTCCATTGGTTATCCTAAAAAGGATCATCCGGTATTCACTGCTTTAGGAAAAAAGGTCATGAGGGCAGCTAAAATTGATAGCATATTTAATAACAGAATGAAGGAAGAAGAAAAAAAAAATAAAAAAGGAACTCGAGTCTATGCTAATTTATGCCAATGATCCTTTCCTCTTCCTTATGGTTAATCGTGTCTTAAGTTAATTTGTTCTACTGAGGCCATGAGGAGAGTGGTATAAAGACCATACCTAGAAAACCATCATGACATCCTGATGTCCTCAATATTAATAGCACAGAAGTAATACCCAAATTCTGTCATCTCTGTCAACTGTGATGCAAGTTATGAGGGCTGCCTAGTCAAGTCACTCATTTATGACTCTGAACCTAAAATATCCGCCTTTGGAAAGAGCAAAGTGATTGATTGTGAGCGGGAGACTTGTCCCATTGAGATGAAATATAGTTGGAAAAGTGCCTAATTGGATCTAACTACTGAAGGTCATCCTTTTATAAAGAATTAATCTCTTCAGACTCATACTTAACACCTTTAATTGAAAGTACATTTACTTTAATTGATATGGCACAGGATACTCCTGATTTCAGGGAAGTTGAAAAGGGCCTGACTTCAGGTTTGAAACAAAGTTGGTACAGTTTGACAGAAACGCTGAAGATGAGTTAATAGTTTCAAGGCTCAGACGCCCTTTTAATAACTCAGCAAAATCCATTTTAACTCTAACATTTTGTGGGCCAAAAGCCCATGTTACTTGCTTACATTGCCTTGTAAATGCAAATGCCTACAGGTGCCAAGCAGGGAATGTATTTCTTTCCTTATTTAAAATAAGTGGCACAATTTCAAATACCCTCAGTTACAGAAAGGTTTTCTGTGACTATTAGTCCTCCCACTCCTGTCACTTAGCTGCCTGCTTTCTTTCACAGAAGCAGCCAATGTTACAAGCTTTTTGTTTATTCTCCCAGAGATGCTTTATGCACAGGCTAGCAAATACATACACCAATTTCCTTGAGCCTGTTAATACAAATGGTAGCTTATGATATCCATTATTTGAAACAGTATCTTTTTTAAAAAAAAATTATATATTTTAGAAAGGCAGATAGTTTGAATCCATCAGCTACTTTGAGGGAGAAAGATGGATGGGCCCTCTCCTTCCACGTGATTTGCTGCCTCTGAAAGAAAACCTGCAGGAGGGTCAGTTATCAGTTCTGACTCAATGATACAAAACAACTATACCAATTCATAAAAAGGTTTCATGCTTTTTTACAGCTATGCTGTACACATTAGGGTGTGGGGTTTAGGATGCGTTTGGTTTTTTTTTTTAAACTCCACAACAAAACTGTTCCTTAAATGCTGAAGAGTGCCTCTCCCTTGTAGTGATACAAACAATTCATGCATTCAACTGCCAGTCCCTTCAGAGGCACCTCAGAAAATAGTGGAGGGCTACTTCTGAAAAACCATGCATATAAAATCCTCTAGCTTCATCTAACATACTCCGGGCATGTTATTAGCAGAGGCTATTCTTAGAGAGGGAAATCATGCTTGGAAAGGTGGGGGGGACAGTGAAAGAAAGGAAGATGGATTGACACAGTGACTGCAGTAATGTTGGAGATAGTGAGGATGGCACAAGATAAAGGACTGGGTTTAGATGTGTTCACAGGGTCACTATGAGCCATGCTCGACGTGACGGCACCTAACAACAGCAACACCCTCTAGGGCACAGCTCTTCTCTAACACACACAGGGCTGTCATGGGTCAGAGTCTATGTGAGGGCTGAGTTTTGATTAGCTTTTTAATCTAATGAGAGGTGGTTCTAATATTCTGCTATCATAATAATGCTTCACTGAATATATTTGTTCTTATATAGCTCTGCAAATAACGTTGAGTATATGCATCCACTTATAAGTCCTTAATAAATTTCTAGAAGTTAATTGCTTGCTTAAAGGACATATGCATTTGCAATTTGAAAAATATTGACAAATAGCCCAACATTTAAGCTGTGCTGATTTATACTCTCACCAGACTATGTAAGCACAGAGATATTAAAGGGGCTATGTTCAGAATTGTGGGGACTGCACCAATGGAAGGCTTATTCTCCGTCTAAATAAGGTAACTATGAACCAGATGTGGTCAGGCAGAAGGAATTTGAGCCCAGGGTCTTAAGAATTCAGATTTTTCAGAAAACATGTAAATTTAACATTGCATATAATATTATTTCTAATTATTTAAAATTTATTTTAAAATATTGACACTAAATCAGGCTAAATCTCTTACCATTAACTAGTAAAGTCTGATACTAACTAGAACTCAACGGTTATTAAACATATAAACCTATTTCTGAAGGCAGTAGAAAGAAAGTTGGAAAGCTGTCAAAAAGAGTAAGAGTTAAAAAAAAATAAAATAAAATAAAAAAAAAGAGTAAGAGTTCAATGTTCTTTTTTTTAATCTACTAAATAGAGTCCTATAAAAGTTACATATATAATTTAAAATAACTTCCGTTTAGTAACAATTCATGGTTTTGTTTGTTAGCGACATTGAAAGCATAAGAGGATCAGGTATATTGACATGCTTAAGGTTTTTCTTTTTGCTCTTTCAACTCACAGAAAAGTCACACTGTGGACACTCTGAAG